AGTGTTTGCTCTGGTGTTTTCACTGAGCACACTGGAGCCTGCTTCTGTTGTCCACGCTGGTGTTCGAACGCTGGCTTCCTGGCATGTTATTTTAGAATCTGCTGTGGATGAAGTCTAGAATGTGCTTATTCCAGATGTTCTTGACAAATAGGAGCAGGGTATGATGTTTGGCTTTTTAGGAAGGGTACTGCTTTGGGGGAACTTGTAGAGCTGATGTTTTAACACAACAATGCTTTGGGGTCTGTATATCTAGGTTCACTGGCTTATTTTGAATGCAAGGTTCTTCTGTATTTGCTACCTTCTTTTCTGGAGCTATGGGAAAACTCATTAACATGGCACAATTGAAATACTACTTTTAGATATTTACTGACAAGAGGAGTATGAAAGAAATAAAAAAAACAATGGCATAGAAGAGTGGGATGGAAAAACTGAGTATGTCCAGGAATTTAAGGTACAGTAATCACATTCCTTCGGAGCGCTCAGCCAAGTCAACAGGCTGCTTCCCGTGTGCCTGCTCACCGTGACCTCTGCACCCTGGGACAATGCCCCTCCTCTGCGGAGAGTGTCACTCAGCCACACATCTGCCTCTTACTTCTCCTTCTCCACCACAAGGACCGGAACTGGCTTTCCTTTTGTTCTGAGCTGCATCTCACATCGCGTGCAGGTGGCCTGGTGGTGGGTGCCTGGGAGTTCCCTCTCAGGCACGGGCCTCCTAGGCACCTGGGGAGAAGAAACCCTTTGGTCTAAGCCAACTATGACACTGTCTGATAAAAGCGGACCATAAAAGGCCTTCCTGTTTGGCTAAGGTAAGAGTAGGAAACTGAGTATGAGAAAAGAAATGCCAGAAGTAAAAATCAAATACGAAAATGTCCCCTCCCCCCAAATAGCCCAGGAAAACTAGCACCCAGCATGGCTCCTTGCATCTGACACGGCAGATGTTTCAGAAAAGATGAGGGAAAACATTACAGAGCTCTGCCCCAAGGTCTGTACCATCACTAGGACATTTTATTACTCTGTAGAACGCTCACATCTGCTGGCCTCAACGGTAATATTCGGGAAGGCAGTTTCGAAATTCAAGATTCGAATCCTTTTAGAGTGAGACCTATAAATATTGTTTCGGGGCTCTTGCTCGTTTGCTGGCAAGGAGGAAAGCGAAATCGGTCTCCATGTTGCAAGCACAGACACCTGCAAGATATTTCTTCTTTAATAAAATAAAAAGTAGGAGCTTTCACAACAAATGTCCCCCAACGCTGGCCGCCCCAGACGCGCACCGCTCGCTCAGGGAGTGGGCGGCCCCACCGGCACGCAGCTGGACGGAGACGCAGCGAGGGTGATTCTCATTCCACAGTGCTACCTCCTGAGATTATGGGGATCATAAAGAAAATCGAATCAATATCCAATTCAGTGCTCTTTAAGAAATGTTGTAGAGATTTGAGAGGCTTGTAATATTTAATAACATGCGGCAGGAAGCATCTCAAAACCCCTCTCTGGAGGATTAGCTTTTCCTTACTGACACTGCATTTATTTGTTGGAGGTTGTCGGCCTTTGAGTCGCTTTGGGTTGGTGCTTTGTTGTCGCCCTTCATGTCCTTGGGCCTTCCTGTTCAGATGCCTCGTCCACTGCCGTCTGTGTCTGTCTCCCGCAGTGCTGAGACTGGCTCTAGGACGTTTCTGAGATTCCTTCCCCTCCAGTGCTGCTAGTGTAAGCCACAGAGCATTGCTATTTAATTGGTATTTTCCTACTTCCCTGCCTAATTCCATATTTTCCCAGAATAGAGTTCATCACACTAAGGACCAATTAGTTTTCCTTAGATTTGCCCAGGTTAGGGCCTATGGCAAACAAAGATGTCCAATAAGGCATGGATAACCAGTGATCTTAGTTTAAGAAATATTAAATATAACTCATGCTAATGTCGAGAGACTGAGTAATCTCTCTAGAAGTCTGAAGACATACGACCCCGTCCCCTAGTGGGCAGGACAGTGAGTATAAATGCTGCTCAGCACAGGGTACAGACCTGCTTCAAACACAAGGAAGAGGCGTTCGGTTCGCTCACACGGAGGCCCACACGCTGGCAGGTGACCTCTTTTCCTTTTGGCTCCAGTATCTTTTTAATTTTCTGTCGGAAAGGATCTGGCTGGTGGCACTGTTTTCCTTAGGTTTTCTGGTGACACTGTCCGAGGCTTTGTTCCATACTTTCCATTGGGGCAGCATCATCCTATCTTAGAATAATAACTGGTTCTTTCCTCTTTGCCTTGGACATGCTGGCCTCAGCTCCTTATGACCAGACAGACGGAAGCCCATGCGCATGGCGTCCGTGCACTCCAAAGTGACCAGGAATGCAGAACAGCAGGCTTCCCTCCTGCCCGAGGATCTCAGTCCGTATTAGGCAGCGGAGTGAATCTTAGTGTCCAGACTCAACAGTTCAGAATTTAATCTCTGAATCAGCATGAGGCAGTAGGATGGTTTTCAAGGGGCAATAAATATTTCCTTAAATGGAATTATAATGAAGACATATAATTTATACACATTTTATATTATAGCATTATTTTCTAAAGGAGAATTTTATGGGACTGTACCAGTATCTCTTTCAAGTAAGTACTCTTGGTACATGAGTATTTTCTTTTGCAAAAATGAATATGCAGTTCTAGATTCTTCCAAATAACATAGGACTCAGACTTGATATGAAACTCATCAAAACAGAGAAAAATAAATAAAATTAAAATATTTAATAAAAAAAATTTCTGGTATGTATAAGCAAATCAAAGTTGGTAATAACATTTTATTTTAATGGTAAACTTTCATGCTAACTTAGTAGTATAATGGAAAAGTAATATAAACTCATTTTCATATAAAATCTGTTTCCATTTAATTAACATGTTAATACATAAAGAAAAGTGTCTTTCAATGGTCTGCCTGTTGCTCTTTTTATTTGCATTATTCTCTGTTTTATGAGATTTCTGACCTCCCAAATATAAAAGTTAGTCTACATGACTCAGAGCAGTGCTTATGGACAATCAATTCTGTGGATATGAAACATTTTAAATACCAACGGAGTGATCAAGGGAGTATGTGGGGAAAAAGAGAGGGCTGAGGCAAACAACCTCTTTTCAGAACATTTCAATTAATCCCACGTCACAGGACACATGACCACAAAGCAGTGTACTAAGAGTACATATAAGTAAGGTTTTTGGGTCCACCCTTAGAACATCTGGGCAATCACAGGAATGAATTATCACGTGGGAGGGCTGAGGCAACTCTAATGACAGTGACGTACAACCTACACATTTATTGCTGCATTCTAATTTTTGTGTTGATCCCACTACAGAGTCCTCAGTGTGTGACGTATAATTAAAACCCTTTGTAAAATCTCACACCGGTATTATGAAGCATAGTTATGTTAGTGGTATCAGCCAAACTTTATATAAAACTATATGGCAACACTGAAAAATGAAATAATGCAGAAGAAAACCATTCTGTGGTTTAAAGAAAATTAAATCTATTTAGGCAACTAAGCATATTTTCTTCTTTTGAAAATAACCCTCAAATGAACCACAGTTGTGAAATGTGTGCTGAACAGTAGCTAATATGATGACTCATGGTCTATGCTGATTTACTTGTAAGATGTTTAAATAATACTGTATTTGTGATAAAATGATGAATTATGAATGAACTTTATTGCTTATATTAAAGTTGGGAGACAAAAGAGAAAAATTACATGAGGCCTTTTACTAGCGGCAAAATGGGCTGAAATACAGCCTCGGGTTTTGAAAGTTTAAACAAAACCTGTTTATCCTTTATTATATTCCTGGAAAAGAAGTAATATGTTGGCTTTGGGAAGTAAACTCAGGTTGCTCGAATACAACATTAATTTTCGGTTTCACGTGTTGGCAATAAATGTTAATTTGACATTAAAAGATTTCTTTCCTTGAAAAATGATGAACTAGCTAAATATTTTTCATGTAGACTCCTTAGAGAGTCAAGATAGAAAAATGTAGGTGAGAGTCCAATTGCCTGGGTACCCCCCACCCCCTCTGTACTCATACATTTAAGGAATTATGACAGGAACTGTATGGGAGTGATAAATGCACCTCTTGAAAAATCCATTAACAACACAAAGATTTGCAACCTGGCTTAATTACATTCAGACCAGTGGCAATTTTGGTTACAACTGTTTTCTTACTAAACAAGTCAGAGGATTTTGTGCATTTCTGAAGCCTCCTTTTTCTACACCAACTTGCAAATTCAGAACAGCATTTATGTGTGTGCTTTTTGGGTATAGATTAGCCCCTAAAGTACATAATTCCAATAATTATCAGTGACAGAAGGGACAAATAAATTATGCTTTAAGTGCAAGAAAATTAACAGTAAAAAAATGGTTTGCATAAGTTTTTCTCAATGCATGTGCCTATATTAAATTTAATATTCTTTACCACTGATACGATCCTGAAAGACTCCTGGTGAGTTATTAATCCTGAACTATACCGCTGCCTGCTCTGGGCCAAAGAATAAAATGGAATTTAAATGCTGTGGATGTCACGATGTTTTGCAAAGCTGCTTTAATTTAAGCACAGAGTTATGATGTGAATTGTAAATCCTAACAGCCGGGATGAGTGAAATATCAATGCCATGTTCCTTCTTCAAACCAGAATGCAAAGATTAAGCTCCAGGTCTTAGTCACAAAATTAAAGCCAAAACCATCCTTCTCTCTTCTTGCTGAGAGCTGAGCATTGAGGCTGCTCAGTGATGGGAGGCTGGTTTCCATAAACAAAGAATATTTTGGAAAGATCACTTAGAAATGCTGGTGAAGGGGGGATGTGTCCCCATTCTTATGATTAAAGGTTGGCAAGGGCCTAAAGACCACAGCACTTCATTTTAATTCGTGAGTCGGTGCTCTGATTTGCCACAGTATATGTTATCAAAAGAAGGTTCCATTTATTTACAATATTTGACAGAAGGGAAAAACAGTTCTAATCAAAACAAAATTGCTTTGAATATTGCAATATATTTTTGAGGGCAAGTTTATTATGCTTTCATTTTCGTCTGAATGCAGTAATCATTAAATGTGTACAAAACTTGCAAGAAGATTGAAATGACAGACAAGCCATTATTCTCTTTAGTTTTATCCTTTCTACCTTTCAGAGAAGTGGGTGTGAGTTCTGTGCACTGATGTTCACAGGCAACAAATAGGAGGAATTTTCTTTCCCATAAGCTCTTCTAATAAACAAAGACCAGACCATCACTAAGGTGCTGTTTACCTGGACATCTGCCTGAGCACTTATGGAAAGCTCCCAAGTCACATTTACCCCTGAGCCTGACCATCTCGTCCACGCACACTGATCCTGAGGCCACTGTATACCGAACACGGGGTAAGCCCCGGGATGCAGCCACGGGGCAGCTCGACAGAATCCTACTGAACTGTCACATTTCAGGGGAGCCATCTCCAGCACTGTCCTGCACACCTGCCTGCTAAGAGTTTCCGGGCAGCAGTGTTAGGGTAACAAAGGAGGCTGTCCTGTATCTTTTTCCTCAATAGTGTTCATCTGTTAACCGTTCACACCTGCCTTGCTCCGTGGTGGGAGGTGCACGTAGGCAGACACCTGAGTGTGTTTCTCGTGTAGGATCATGAGATCCTGCCAGCTCAGGAAACTGGCACCAGGCAGGGGAATTAGACGCTGGATGCCCCCTCCGTGGTGCAGGAGCTTCACCGACAGTGTGCTCTTGGTTCTGTGGACTTGTGCTTTGTAGTTTCTCTTAAACAAAAAAGTTTTATTGCCATTAAGAAGCCTTTATCTATGAACTCCTGAAAAACATTTCTTAGAACCTGTTTCGTGAATTCGGACCATAAAAATGGGGTGGGTGTAACCTGGATATGAAGACAGTTTGTTTTCCTTCTCTTCTCTGATCCCCTCTCTAAACGTCCATGACAAGCTGCTGCCTTGGTGCCAGCAGTGTGCTCTGTCCTCAAACAGAGGGGACGGACCTTCCTGCTGACACAGGGGTGTGATGATTCGTACACTGCACTTATTTCTGGCAGTAAAAAATGAAAAAATAAAAACCCTAGGAGGGCTGAATAATTCCCACCAGAAAATGATGCTTACAAATACCATCGTGCCTTGGCAGAGCAGAGCAAACTCCGGCTGGAAGGTGTCCTGCGGACGTGCGTCACCAAGGCAGCGCATAGCACCGAGTGAGCCAGGTGGGCGGCACAGGCCAGCGCCCGCGACCTGTGCCTGCGGCGGGAGAGCAGTGACACACGTCAGTGGTCCCGGTGTGAAAACATCTGTCGCCCCTTCCGTGAGAGCCTTGCTCCTCTATTATTACAGTGGCCTGAAATGGCAGGGTGGCTGCAGTGAGCTGATAAAGCCCTTGGTAGGACTGTCTGTTCCTTGGAAGCATTTGCCTTTTTGTAAGTGGCACACATTAAAAAAAAAACAGTTAATAAAAAAATAACCTTAGCAGACCGTTGCAGGTAACATGGCATAAACTCATCCCCGCGGAGGGCCGCGTCCTGAAGGCTGTGTCGGGCACCGTCGTCCCGTCACTATGAGAATTTCTTCTTGATGGAGGTGAGCTCTTTCTGAAGTTCAATGAACTTGGGGCGGTTCTCAGGCTTATAATCCCAACACTGCATCATAAGCGTAAAGATATCCTCTGGGCAATGCTGAGGGGCTGACATTCGGTACCCTGAGGGCCAAGAGAAGAACGGAGATGAGATACGAATGTTCGCGCAGGGCACCGTGTGGTCTGTAAGCTTAGTACCTGATGTTGTAGGGGAACAGAAACAAAACACCCTTCGTAAGGCGGAGTTCACCACAACAGAGCCACAGAAGCGCCTTCAGTTCAGGGCACCCGCTCTGTCTGTGGGCTCGTCGCAGTCTGACGTGAGAGACATCACACACACACACACGCACGCTCTCTGCTCTCGGTATTTGCTTTTAGATGCTGTGGGCAGAGTTGTTAAAAAATATCATCTCTACTACCCAGGTGTTTGAAGATGAAGAGAGGATGAGGATGTAATACACACTAATTCAAAAGTGAAACAGAAATGAACATGAGTTACACTCCTTTACCGTCGGAGAAGAAATCTTAGTTTTCGTGCCAAGGGGTGGGCAGGGGTGTGCCCTCAGGAGGAAGGTGTCCGGGACAGGCAGGAAACTGGGAGCCGTCCTCCACCATGCCCTCCTGAGGGGCCCGAGACACTGCCATTTGTCAGAAGCATATGTCTGCTGCCAGCTGCAGACCTCGCGAACGCACGCCAGGGTGACACCATCACCTACGTACTCCCTCTCCGACCTGGGAGCACCAGAGGGTTTCTTTCGAAGTGTTTCCCAGTTGTCACAAGCTCCCTGAGGCTGAACCACACTGCAGGAATAGTAACGGTGCTAAGTATCCTATTCCCTTGAAGAGACTGAACAGAGTGCCCTGCAGAGGCCATGCCAAGCAGGGGGAGCGGAAGAAAAGCCTAGAGCTCTATTTGTACATCCAAAAAGAGTTTTGTTGCCTTTTGTTGTGTAAGAGCCATGCGGTCCAGGGGTTCAGAAACAGATGTATAACCACCTCTGCTCTCTCTCCATACAAACAGTACGTACCCTCCTCCCCCCAAGAAAACAGACACCCACAGCACCACCCCTGGGGGCGGAGGTGACCACTGCCACCCCTGTCTTTGGCTCACCTCTTTCCACTTGCTCACGTGCTTGCTGATTTGTCATTCCGGGGTACGGGCAGACCCCTAAGCTGAAGGTCTCCCAGAGGAGGATGCCAAAGCTCCACACGTCACTCTCAGAACTGTATCTCCCTAGAGGGCAAACAAACCACACCAGGTGAGCGGATACACGGGTGACCGTTTATGGGAGTGAATTTCTATGCCAGTCACATATTAATATATTTAAACTTACCAAAGGAACTTTAAAACTAGTGATCCTGTTCCTTAAACGAGTTCTGCTCTCCGGGACTAGTGATATTACCAAGCAAATTAACAGTGTTCAGGCTGCTGGTTTAACCAAACCAGCTTCCAAATCACCTTTGCCCAGCAAGAACAACTGTTCAGCCAGAAAGCAAGCTTACTTTCCCTGTGGTAGCTGAGATATAAATTTGTGCACATCAGTGTCTCGAAGATTAAGTAAGCTGGATTTCTGCAATTCTGTCTTCTGCCTGCATCATTTTCATCCCACTAAAATTACAAATAAGTGATAAGTTTCTTAACTTAAATTGTTTACTCATCACTGTTTATAGATATTTTTACTTGCTTAAAGGTCTCATTTTCCCCACCGACAGTTTCATTTATGGAAAGTATATTTTTGTGTGTGTTTTAAATAGAGTAGAAATTAACAGCTGGCTGATAAAAACAACTTTAAATCACATGGTGCCTTGTTATGTTGAAATCTTGGTGCAACTGTTTTACTAGGCTACATAAGCTATGCTCACAGGATTTTTTAAAAAATACTATTCCAGAGAAGCAGAGAGAAAAAGCCAACACAAAATACTTTCTGGAGATGGATGTGAAATCAAGGAAGGAGGTAAAGCAGAAAAAAATCTGTCCAGTATCCAAGAGGTAAGAATTTCTAAGACTTTCCCAATATAGCTGTATTTTTTTTTTTTTTTTAACATATCCTAACCAAACCTCACTTGCAGCGGTGTTCAAGTATTCTGAAATGATTTCATTTCTACCCGCTTGTAGCTACCTGCCTTCACTCCTCCGCTCCAGGGTCTATGTTCGCCTCTCCTCTAAAATAATCGTGTTTCTTTAAGTAGGATGGCCTTTTTGCTTCCTTGACCTTTAAAGTCACAAGAACCAGAGTGTCCCTGCACTATGAAGACGGCTCTGACGTTGGAGTATGCTTACTGACGGCCATCTCCAGCGGAGGGAATGACTTCCTTCTTAGCAGGCAGTAATTATGGATGTTCACTATGCGTAGCAGGAAGATTAGTTAGTTTTCTTATCTTCATACCAACCCTTTGTCATCCAATGGCTACAGTTAAGACTCATTAATCTTTCAAGAAAGTACAAGGAGCCCTGGCCAGTTTGGCTCAGCGGTTAGAGTGTCCACCTATGGTCCGGAGAGACCCGGGTTCGGTTCCCGCTAAGGGCATGTACCTCGGTTGCAGTTTGTCCCCGGCCCTGGTTGGTCGTGCGGGTGGCAGCCACTCGATGTGTCTCTTTCACATCGATGTTTCCCTCTCTCTCCCTCCCACTCTGTCTGTACAAAAAATGGAAAAATGTCCACGGATGAGGATTAAAAAAAAAAAAAAAGAAAGTACAAGGAATAATACAGAGTCAAATACCTTTTTTTGTAAGATAATAACTGGGTTGATATCAAGAAAGGCACATCTTATATAAACCAACACTTCAGAAGTGAAAGCTTATAACTCTACAGCCTTGACCTTTGAACCTGATTGTGATGCATAATTTTAACAATTTTTAAAAATAGTTATATTATTGAGGTATAATTGATTTATAACATTAGTTTCAAGAGTACAACATAATTTGATATTTGGGTATACAATTGGCCCTCGCCGCTTCACTCTACCGGGGTTTTCTCCAATCCTGTGCCACACTATACTTGAAAAAACTGTGGCAGAGTGAAGCCCCGAAAGTGGCAGCACGAAGTGGTGAGGGACGACTGTATATAAATAAAGAGTCCTACTTTGTGGAAATTCATTTATCGCGGTAGAGTCTGGAACTGATTAACCGGGATAAACAAGGGCCGAATGTATTGCAAAATGATCACCACATAAGTCTAGTAAACAGCTGTCATCATATAGTTATATATTTTTTCTTTTGATGAGAACTTTTAAGCTCAACTCTTTTAGGAACGTTCAGATACGCGATCTAGTATTAACTATAGTCACCATGCTATACATAAAAGCCCCATGACTTAGCCCTGGCCGGATTGGCTCAGCGGTTAGAGCATCGGCCCGCGGACCAGAGAGTCCCGGGTTTGGTTCCCGCTAAGGGCACATACCTAGGTTGCGGTTTGTCTCCGGCCCATCCGGGTCATGTGGGTGGCAACCAGTAGATGTGTCTCTCTTGCATCGATGTTTCTCTCTCTCTCTTCCTTTCTCTCTCCCTCCCACTCTATCTGAAGATAAATGCAAAAATGTCCTCGAGTAAGGATAAAAAAAAAAAAAAGCCCCATGACTTACTTTATACCTGGGCATTTGTACCCTTGACCCATTTTGGCCATCCCGGAACCCTACCTGCACCTCTGAACTTTTTTTGTGTGTGTACTTTTTAAGATTCCACATATAAATGAGAGCGCATGATATTTGTTGTTTTCTGTTTGATTTAGGTATTCTAAGTCATCCATGTTGTTGCAAATGGCAAGGTTTAATGGCTGAATAGTATCTCATTGTATATTTTTACCACATTTTCTTTATCCATTCATGTATTGATGTACACTAGGGTTGTTTTCATACTGTGGCTATGCTAACAAATGCTACACTGAACACGGGAGTGATTATGTCTCTTCCAAATAGGGATTTTATTTCCTTCAGATATATACCCAGAAGTGGAATTGCTGGATTATATAGTACTTGTATTTTTTTGATAAATTTCCATACTGTTTTCCCTAATGGCTGCACCAATTTACATGCCCAACAGAAGTGCACAAGGGTTTCCCTTTTCTCCACATCCTCGGCAACATTTGTTACATCTTGTCTTTTTGATAATAGCCATTCTAACAGATGTGAGGTAATATTTAATTGTGGTTTGAGAATTTCATTTCTGATGATTGGGAACATTGAGAATCTTTTCATGTACCCACTGGTCACCTGTATGTTTTCTTTAGAAAATGTTGATTAACATTTTTTGCCAATTTTCTGATCTAAGTTATTTTTGGCTACTGGGTTATATGATATTTTGAATATCAACCCATTATCAGATATATAATTTGTAAATATTTTCTCCCATGCAGTAGGTTACCATATCATTTTGTTGATGGTTTCCATGGCTGTACAAAAGCTTTTTAACTTGAGGTACTCTACTTGTTTATATTTGCTTTTGGTGACAGGTCAAAAAAAAAAAATAATTGCCATGACTGATGTAATGATTACTGCCTATAATTATGCATCAGATAAGGGATTAATTTCCAAAATATATAGAGTGTCATACAACTCAACAAAAGAAATACAAAAACCCAATTAAAAAATGGGCAGAGGACCTAAACAGACACCTCTCCAAACAGGACATACAAATGGCTAAGAAACATATGAAGAAATGCTCAACATCACTAACCATCAGAGAGATGCAAATTAAAACAACAATGAGGTATCACCTCACACCTGTCAGAATGGCCGCCATCAATAAATCATCGAACAACAAGTGTTGGCGAGGGTGTAGAGAAAAGGGGACTCTAGTACACTGCTGGTGGGAATGCAGACTGGTGTAGCCACTATGGAAACAATATGGTGTTACCTCAAAAAGTTAAAAATTGAACTGCCATTTGACTCAGTGATCCCACTTCTAGGAATACACCCTAAGAAACCTGAAACACCAATCAGAAAGAATATATGTACCCGTATGTTCATAGCAGCACTTTTTACAATAGCTAAGATCTGAAAACAACCCAAGTGTCTATCAGTAGATGAGTGGATAAAAAAGCTGTGGTACATGTACACAATGGAATACTATGCAGTTGTAAGAAAGAAAGATCTCTTATCCTTTGAGATGACATGGAGGGACCTGGAGAGTATGCCAAGCGAAACAAGCCAAGCAGAGAAAGACAAATATCACATGATCTCACTTATTTGTGGAATATAATGAACTAAACATACTGATGAACAATACTGACCCAGAGACATAGAGGTGGGGTACAGACTGACAAGCCTCAGAGGAGGGGGCTTGGGAGGAGGAGATAAACCACAGAACTTATATGCATGTATGCATAACCAATGGACATAGACAACAAAGCTGGGGTTGGCGTGGGGGGGTGCGGAGGAGGGTGTCAATGGGGGGAAAAGGAGAAACATCTTTAACAAAAACAAATTAATAAAAAATGTAAACTTTATTTAATAACTGATAAATAAATTTAGGGGAATTATTATTGTGACTGTCATTTAAAAAAGAAAAGATTACTGCCTATATTTCTTCTAGGAGTTTTATGGGTTTCTTACATTCAAGTCTCTAATCCATTTTGAGTTCATTATTGCGTATGGTATAAGACAGTGGTCCAGTTTTCCCAATACCATTTGTTGAAGAGACTGTGAAAGATCTGTATTCTGAAAACTGTAAGATACTGAAGAGTACAAACCATACTCATGGATTGGAAGGATTAATATCATTAAAATAAACATACTACCCAAAGCAATCTTCTGATTCAATGCAATACTTATGAAAATACCAATGGCATTCTTCTCAGAACTGGAATGAATTATCCTAAAATTATATGGAACCACAAAGACCCCAAATGCCAAAGCAATCTTGAGAAAGAAGAACAAAGTTGGGAAGTATCACACTCCCTAATTTCAAGCTACACTACAAGGCTGTAGTAAGCCAAACAGTATGGTACTGGCACAAAAACAGAAACACAGATTAATAGAACAAAATAGAGAGCCCAGAAATAAACCTTCACTTATATGATCAGCTTGTCTATGACAAAGGAGGTAAGAATATACAGTGGAGTAATGATAGTCTCTTCAACATGTGGAATTAAAAAAACTGGACAGATACATGAAAAAAATGAAACCGATCCACTCTCTTACACCATATACAAAGATAAACTCAAAATGAATTAAAGACTTAAACTTAAGACCTGAAACCATAAAACTCATAGAAGAAAACATAGTAAATTATCTGAC